TGCAGCCACAGTGGTGTACTGATAAATCAGTGCTGAGGAGAACTCTTCTTGCTAGAGTATTGCTTAGAAAAGCTATTTGCCTTCAAGTACTAAAAGTTACTTTCTCTTGGACTACTCTAACTTCACTTTCTAGAATGAATTAGAGGAAGTCTTTCATGTCCTGTGTAAACTCTAAACACTTGCTGCAAAGCACTGTAGATTAGTGAGTTATCTGACCAACAGTGTCTCACATTTTATATCATGGCCATCAAGTACAGTAAGTTGTTTCTGTTTATAGAAATGGATATCTTCAAACTCCCATAAGGTAGGCACTGGCGTCTTTTAGTGGGAAGTACATTCATTTAATAGAAGATATACCAGCATCAGTGTAAATATTGCTACTTTGAGGTAATAGTTGAATGACAGTGGGAATGGGTTCTGTTACTCTCTCTAAAAGGGGATTTAGCTGCAAATAACCCAATTTAACCTTCTCTTCAAATCTTTGCCATTCATAAATGCAGCACTGTGCTAACAGCACAAGCATGACCATTAGTTTATCCCAAATACCTATAGTCCAGAGGAGCTATCTGACTTCACTTTGCTGTTCTTCAGAAAGACTCTTCTTTGGCAAAAAGGATAAAAGCACCTGATCGCTGAGGCATCTCATTGAAAGAAAAAAAAGATGAAGCAGTAAAATACCTGAGGAGCCATCTGAAACAAATCAAACACTTGACCTCCTCAGAGCCATCTTAGGCAGCTGTAGCCCATGAAAAATGCTGATGCATTTCCAGGTTCCCAAGGACTGCAAAATATAGGAAGAGGGTGCCTTTAACAATACCAACACCAACTGAAATCTGCTCTGTGCAAAAAAGTGTCTAGAACCCTTAGACTGGAAGGGAAACTGATAGCAGGTCCCTTCTTAGTCATATTGGTTCATAGTTTTAATATGATGGGCACCGTGTTATTCACCCCCGCTGAGAGTCTGTGAGAGACAAATCCTGATTATTCCTCAAAGCAGGACTCTGGAGGTCTCCTGGGTTTGTCTGCAGATGTATCCTCTACTCTGGCATCTGCAATCTAATGTCTTAAAGGGATGCTCAAGTCTCCAAATATAAAAATGATCTATTTTAAAGAAAACATCAAGCTTATTCTTCTTTTCTGATTTTACAACATACTTCAGAATATATATATATACACACATATATACAACAGCAACCTATGATGTTATGTTTATAGGGTCTCATTAAGCTTATATAAGGCATCTTCTTCCCCTGGCACTAAAGTTTTGTTTGGAGTTAATCTTCCATATGTTGACAGTATAATCTGAGAGATTTAGGAAGGTAATACACAGAAGAATTATTACAGCGCTTAGTTGAATAATAGGTTTTGAACTTGCTTAAGTCAGAGTATACATAGTAAGAGCACATTCTTCACATTCTTCAGTATCCCAATAGAACTTGAAGTTTCTTGTAGAAGGAAATCTAGCACACAAGGCTTCCCCGCTCAAATCCAAATAGTTAAAAGACTAAAACGATGCACCTTGTTTACATCCGGAAACCTTTCTTTGACAATGTGTTTCATCACAACAGCAAAAAGGTGATTATTAGAGCATATTTATGTTCTATGCACTTAAAAAAACAATGGCGCAGAGATCTACTCTGAACACTTTTTGTCAGAAAACTGTATAGAACACAATACTTTTCATTGCTAAAATGCATAAATAAAGAATTTGGTGTGTTAACAGAGTCATCTGTACGTTTAAATACAAAGTCACTGACACAGGAAAGAGCCAAATGAAAAAAAAAAAGGTTTTCAAATCAAGTAGTACGTTTTCTGGAATGAAAGAAAACTAGGACACCAAGTTACATTTAAGTACAATTTCCCATACTCTTTTTAAAGGTATTACAACATTAGCTAACAAAACAGTTCTATATTGGCAAGCTACTTTCCTAGGAGGATAGGCCAATTGGTGGAAAACTTTCCCATCGTTAAGTTGATGTCTTTATATAGAAAGATTTATCTTTTACTTTCAACAGATCTTG